TATGTGCTGCCAAAACGAGCACAGCTCCTCCAAATCAGTAAGTCAGAAATGGTCAGGACATCCCTCTTATAGGCATACTGATTTAGTTATTTCTATCATTTATTATTACTTAGTTCTTTGAGCCTGTTGTCCACAGAAGTTGTCACACATAATAAACTCCCCTATCTGTACAAAGAGGGATTTGAACAAAATGCATACAGGTTACAGGGCAGGCAGAAGGAATAATGTCAGTGTACTGCCTGAGAGTGCTGTGAGCATTTAGGGAAAAAAGGGGTTGCTTCTAGATGGGAGGTAGGGAAATTACTGCTCCAGTCTGATAGGCACAAATTGTGAAGAAGGTAGAGCACTACCTTCTGAGGCAATGGCCCAAGCAGAAGTCTGCAGTCAAGAATACTGAGGTAAGAACCACCTCTCCCGAATCTAGAAAAGGCCAGAATTGAATGGGCTTCCCTTCTGGGCCATCTGCCTCCTCTTCTAGGGATGCATGGAGAAGAGCTCCCTAAGGACCTGTCCCCAGAGACTCTTGGGCATATGACACCCTCAGCAGGACCATGCAAGTAATGGCCCCCTCCTGCCACCTCCCATTATCTGCCTCTCCAGCTTGGCCAAGGCTGTGCTGCTAATTAGCAATCAGCTCAGCTCTCCCAGCCCTACCCTCTGCCAGGACAAGGCTGATCACTAAGGCTTTCTCTCTCTCCTGCAGGGAAGGCACAGCAGGAAGCTGGAGGCAGGGGGCAAAGGGAGGGAGGAGCAGCTTTATGGGCTGGCTGAGGAGGATAACAGAGAAGGAATGGAGGTGTTTGAGACTAAACAGTGACGCTCAAGGAGCTTCAGGCCTCTCTGGCTCCTGCTTGGGTGGAGCTTCTGCAATAACAAGAATTCCTAGCAAGAAAGTAGTTGTAAAAGCCCTTTTCCCATAGTGTCTCATTAGTTTAGTCCCTAAGCAGCTACAGGAGACAAGTATTAACAGCAGCAGCAGTATCATTTAATGTCTTTTTTCCTTGCTCAACTCTAAGATTCACAAAGGAAGGGACCATGTCCGTCTTGTTACCTCTACGTATCTTCAGCCCTACATAAAGTGCCCAGCACAGAGTTGACATTCAACAAAAAGTTGCTGGCTGAGTGGGTGGATGAAAGGATAGGACAGTAAGGCAGATAGATAGGCAGATGATAGATTATGCCCAATTTTACAGATTAAGAAATTGAGGCATGGGGCCAGGGATTTAGCTCAGTGGTGCCACCACCGGCCTCGCAAGCACAAGGTCCCAAGTTTGATCCCCAGTACCAAAAAAAAAAAAAAAATGAGGCAGAGAGAAAAAGTGACTTATCAAAGAGCAATCAGGACGCTAGTAGCAGATCAGTACCAAGTCCCAGTCTGCCACCTCCCCATCTGGCATTCCTCCTAATCCCCAAAACTATCTCTCTCCCTTAACTTCTTAAATATGCCCTGCCAAGAAAAGCCCATCCTACTGAAGTTCTGATTCCAATGCTCCCTTGCCGGTATAGCTCCCATAGTAAGATTGATCCCCAAAGTCAACTGGCCATGGATGAGAGACAGGGCAGCCCTGTTTGGTACTCACCATTCTGGAAAAAACTTTATTGCTGGCTGGAAAGGGGGAAAGTAGACAGAGGCATCTGAGCAGGAGCCCCCACAGAATGGATGCCCCTGGTGTAGGGTGGCAGCACAGGCCTTGAAACCACATGGATGCTAGCTAATAACTCAGGTCCTTCCCTCCCACAAACACCAGCTTCTGCTCACTCGTTAGTTCACTCACCAGAAGGCCACCTTCCCCACTCCTCCTCTCCATGTCAGAGATCCCAGCTGCCAGCTCCCCAGTCTGAGATTCCTACCCCATGGAGGAACAATGCCAATTACACATGTCCCTCTGGGGGTTCAATTACATGTGACAACGAGCAAAGTCCCAGCCTTATCCTAGACTCCCTGCCATCTTCATTGCTCTGGAACCTGAAGCTCCCAGCATAAACGCAGACCAGATCCCAGCCCTGTCCCCTCCCACTCCAAGCAGAAGTTTCCTTGCCAAAACCTCCCTGCTTCACCTTCCACCATGCCCACCACCTTGGGCCAGGAGTTCTTCCTGAGCACCTAGTTTTGCCATTGTATTATATGTCCAATACCAAAACAGGGTCCTTTCTCCTTCAACTCTCTTCACAGCAAGTCTTGTCACTTCCTAGAAGCAGTATACTCTCAGGTTTCTCACATAGAACCAGGGCAGGCCATCTGGTGCCTGCTGTACCTGTTGTCCCTCTTTCCCTTTAGTTTTCTAAAACCCCAGACTTCTTTTCCCAGACCAAGCAGGGCCTTTTACTTCAAGCCCAGCAACCCTATGCGGCCTTTTGGTATTTCAAGGAGCATGTGTCTAGAAAAAGGATCCATAGCTAGAGGGGCCCCTGAGCACAGAAAACTTGAAATCCACTGCCTGGAGGCCCCATCCTACCTTCCACCCTGCCTTTGACAAGTTCAGTCTATTGTAACTCAGTATGAATTTTTATTTTTCCTGCCTGGCCTGGCATGTATGTGAATTTCAAGGGCTTTGCCACTTAAATCACCTCAACATCATAGACTTCAGTCCCTTCCTCTTCAGCACAAGGCATGGTCCCGTCACCTCATAGCTCCATGAGGGGCTTAGTATTCGAGGAGGGGCAGCCACTATCTTTGCCCCCAGTCTCCTCCAAAACAGAGCCTCTGGGCTGTGGCTTATGCAGCTCTCACAGGTATACTAGATGACACCAGATCCTACATAAAGAAGATAACATATCCATGCCATGACCAGTTTGGGGTCAGAAGGCCTGCAATCACAACAGCAGGTAGAACTGGGAACCGTGGTAAAAGTGGGGCTCCCCCAGAGTCCTAAAGTTAAGGGACCCAAAAAGACCATTTGATTCAGCCAATGCTTTGAAGAACCACTGCTTTAGCTCCTTCCGTGTACCTGTACATGGAAGAGGGAGACATACATAAAAAGAGACAAGATACTAGATTCCCTCCAGTACACAGAAGAGGCAACTGGTGCCAGAAAGGTTCACGTTTAAGGTCAAATAGTTGGTAAATAAAGGAGAGGAACTAAATGAAACTCAAGTGCCCTGGCTTCTTGGGTTGGTTTAAGTAGTCATGGTTACACATGCCTCCGGTGTAGTGGTCCCGAGTGTGACAACACAAGCCACCCTCAAGGCCAGCCTCTGTGCCCTACTCTAGATGGTGCAGGAAGGGTTGCCTGCGAGTAGGTAGACACTAGCATCATCCAGTCTCTGTTTTGCCTGCGGCATATACAGGGATCCTGGCAGAGAAGGGTGGGAGAGAAGCTGGGAAGCCACAGCCTGTGCATGCAAATGAGTCAGCTGCATAATTAATTAACATCAAACAGTTTCATTAAGAGATGGAGCTTTGTGGCTGTTTGTCTTTTTTAAAAAAACTGAAACAGTAGGGAAAGGACAGAGAATGGAAGTTCAGGCTCCTCAGGCCCAACTCAGAAGTTAATAATTCTGCCCTCTGGGGATGGTGGTAAAATCTGTTAGGAGAAGAGTTGGCTTAGGATGGCTTCAGCCCCAAAATTTTAGACTGGAAGTCCTCTTATCCCTCCTGGCAAGGATGATGCGCCCACAAATGTCAGCCCCCTAAGAACTGCACCAGACACCTCCATCTGGGCCTCCTCCTAGAATGGAGGTTTAGGGAGGAAGGTGGGCATTGTTATCCTAGGGCAGTACAGTCAGAGCTCACTGGGATCAGATTCCCAGCATTTGAGCAGTGGCTTCCCCAAGGAGGGGACAGGTGTTCTTGTGTGGTCTTGAAGCTCAGAGGCATTGCCTCCAAAATGGTCTCAAAACACCAGGGAACAGAGAGAATCTGTTTGGAAAACTGAACCTGGGGACCAGTTTATCCCTTAATCTCCAGCCCCAACTCCCCTCCTATTCTTTTTCTCTAAAATAGAAAGGGGGAGACAGGAGGATGGGGAATTCCTTGCTAAGCCTTTGGGACCTAATGCCACAGCCTGGAGCTTCTGTGAGTACCACACATGGGTGTGGCCCCCACTTGTCCTGGCTAAATTCCTGTGGGGCAGAGAAGTCACTTCTCAGAAGAAACTCTCCCAACTCTTCACCATCTGGCTCTGCTTCCCTCTCTAGCAATCTCCCAACACTCACCCTGTGCTCCACCCCTATCACTTCCTGCTCCCCAGCAGCCATGGCCTCTCACACTTCTGCTGGGATGGATGGCCTTCTTATCCTCTGTCTTACCTGTCTGGGCCACTCCTGAGCTTTCAGTGCCCAGTGTAAATATCCCCTCTGCTGTTAAGCCTTCCCTGACTCCCATCCTGCCTGCCTCTCCCTTCCCTACAAGGTTAAGTATTTTCTTCCCTGTTCTCTGCATAACCTGTGTTGTCATTAGTTTACTTGTCAGACTCTAGCAATAAAAATGCACTCCTTGAGGGCAGGTACCATATCTTTCTTCATCTCTGTATCATTGAGACCTGGGCTAGACTTTAAAAGTTTGTTCAATGAATATGTGAATAAATCTTTTGAACTGGAAATGATTACAGATACCTCATCCAAATGCCACACTCTTGATAAATGTCTCAACCATTCAGAACAAGAAGTCTATTCTCTTTCTGAATATATATCAAATCTCTGTGACAGAGAAGGGGTAGGAGTAGGAAAAATGACCCTCAATGGGTTGGTTTTGCAAGATAATGAACAAAAAGACAAGTGCCAGTCCCTACTAGGGTGATGCTTTATGCTGAGCAGCTGAGGACAGAGCACCGCAAAGGCTAAGGGTGCTGGGATGAGCCCTTGGATCCTCTTCCTGAGCTGCTGGGCACACTATCCAGAAAGTGGGTAGCCAAAGGGATCCCAGCACCTCTAGACTTCTCACTCAAGATTTCTCCCCACATCATGAGCCCAGGCAGCTTCTGCACAGACCTGTCCTCTGGCCAAACCTCCACAGCTCTGCCTGTCCACCCCAAGGCCTCAGCACCCTCCCTTCTACTCACCTATCCTCTCTCTTCTTCCATGCCTGCTGACCCTTGTGGCTTCTGTCTTCCCTGAGATGGCCAGAAGGGAGAGGATCCATTCTAAATTAACAAGGTTATTAGCAGTTAATTACCTGAGGTATCATTGTAATTGAAAAGAAAAAGGGAAGAGGCTCATAAACACCCCCAGCCTCCCATTCTGCCTCCCAGTACTGGGGAGGCAGTGACAAAGAACCCTCTCCCCAACACAAGGCCCCCCTGGACCATTGTCTTGGCTGAGTTCTCAGCTTTCCTACACACACACACACACACACACACACACAGCTTTCCTGGGGAAATTCAGGAGGTAAAACAAACCCAAGAAGAGCCAGCTGCCCACCTCACTGACACTCCAGAGAGGCTCAGCAGCAGAGAGATTTATTACATTCTGAGAATATTTAAGGTGGAGGCACAAATCCAAGGCCTCATATCATTAGTAATTTTTTTAAATCTCAGATTGTCCTGTTATCCTACAATTAAGGATGGTGGGTATATGTCAGCAATATTGCTTTTTTTTTTCACTAAATTTGCTGCCACCAGAGATACACTGTGGCCAAGGATCATTCCCCTTTCCTCCTCCTTTCCTCTTGCCCCTGCCAGGGCTATAGGCTAAGGGCTGCAGGGAGGGATAGTGCACACAGAGGATACAAGAGTGGCCCCTCCTAGGCTGTCCATGCCACCCCAGCACCTGCTTATCCCTTGGCAAAGTGCATCTCCTCAGACACTCCACCAGCCATCACTGAGACCCTTGGAGGGAACCCTAGACCAGACTGCGTGAAAGCCTCACCCAGTGAGAGACCTGACCTTCCAGAACCCTCCCCTTCTCATCATATTGTCACTGTTCAGGGTAAAGCAGGAGGAGCAGCACCTGAGAAGAGCCCCAAATCCCTCTACTCTCACCCTAGAATCTCCCCTGGAGATAGGGGCAGGAACAAATGGCCACCTCACATCCAGAAGCCTTAGCAAAGGCCCTGCTGGGTGTCTGATGTGAACCTTGGTGTGTGCTGGCAGGACAATGCATTGAGGATGGACTGAGAGCTCCCACTCAGCAGACAGTACCCAGCTGCTTCAAGCCTTGGAGCTGTGCTGACTCCCTCACACCCTCCAGCCACCCTGCCTGGTCCCTTTTCCCTTCGCTTTTCCTATCCCTGGGTAAGGCTCTGGATTCCTCTGCCTCAGCAAAGGCCCTCTTCCTACTACTGCCCTGCTCTCCTGAGTGTTCCTAGGGTATTCTAGAAGTTGCAGAGGGTGTAATGGAGCCGACTGGGGCCCTTTGGGATGACCAGTGCCTCCCTGCAGGGCACACATGGGTTCCACAATGTGCTGTCTTTCAGGAAGCTCTTCTTTGGAACAGAAGCAGGGACACAGTCTTCCAGGGAAGTCAGAAGCCCATCTCCCTGGAAGGGGCAGTAAGTGAATAGCCTTGATTTTCCAGCTGCAGCAATCTCTGCTTCTCAAGGAGCAGTGGCAGCCCCAGGGGTACATGCAACTTGGTTTGAGGGGGAAAAAACCCAAAAATGGGAAAAGTCTGTCTCACTGCTGGAAGCTGTGCCTGACATCAGTCTCCCAAAATTCAGACCCTGGAGTCAATCCCCACTATAGGGCAAGGGGCAGCCAGAGCACAGAGGCAGGATAGCTACCAGGAAGGGTCCTCGCAAGGCTCAAGAAGAGACTAAGTGGGGCCAGGAAGAGGCTCAGCCCATCAGTAATCAAGCCACCTTGTGTGGCCTTGAGGCTTGAGCAAGGGCATCTAGAAAGGATTTATAACTACTACCTGCCTGGTGGGACCCACCACAGAATGGCCTTCTTCCCTGTGGCATAGAACACAGGTCACAACCACCAGACCCTATTCTACAGGGTCCTGCATGGGCCCAACCAATCCCAGTCCCAGGACCCCACAAGAGAAGTCTAGGAATGCAGGGACCACTGGACTGCAGCAAGGTGACCCTTGAGGTCCTGCTGCAGCAGGTAGACTCCACTAGCCACTACTCAGCCCCCTTCAAGACCTCAATTTAGTTTGAGTGAGAAATAAATATACAGCACAAAAAAAGCACAAACGGTGTGTGCAATGTCAAGTAGCAAAAGGTCACCCAAGGTATGGGTGCACATACCTGTAATCGCAGCACTCTGGAAGGCTGAGGCAGAAGTATAGCAGGTTGAGCCCAGCAGCGGCCACATAGAGACTTAGTGAGACCCGGTCACAGTTCACCATCTTTCACACAGGTGACTCACAGCTCTGAATTGGGGCCCTCTGCCACTGACCTTGCATCTCCATACTGCAGATGGTCTTTCTAAGATAATTCTAGCCATGCATGTATGTTCCTGCTAAAACCCTTCCTTCCTTTCTTTCTCTTTCTTTTCCTTTTCTTTGTTCCTCGGGGGCCACACAATAATATCAAAATCCCATAGAGGGTCAGGATTTAGCTCAGTGGCACCGCACCTGCCTTTCAAGCACAAGGTCCGAGTTTGATCCCCGGTACCAAAAAAAAAAAAAAAAAAAAAAAAATCCAATGGAATAACAGGTGCTTCAGTCCTAATTGCTCCCAGTACAAGCTATCTTCCAGCCATCCCAAACTCCTTGCCAACCTCTGAACTTCTATGCTGCTCTGCCTCTGGGCCTCTGTACATGCTATTCCTCTCTCTATCCCAAAATAGCTCAAGCTTTTGGAGACCATCTGCAGCTTTGCCTTCCTAGCACTTGGTATGCAGAAATGATGCCTTGCTTGAATGGATGATGAACATAGGAAAGGATAGGTGAAAAATACCACGAGGTTGTAGAGTGTTCCTCATTTTAAAAGTGAGGAAACAGATTCAGAGAGGTGAAGCAACTTGCTCGATGTCACACAGAATCAGCACCCTTTGCTGCCTCAGAAGAGCTCAGGTAGATCCAAGGCAGAAGGAAGAAGAGAATGAGAATCCAGGATTGGTCTGGACAGCACAGGGAAGGAGTAAGAAGTGGATGGAGGGAAGAGCTGGAAAAGGAAATGATGAGAGGTCAGCACTTCCAGTTAAAACAGTGAACATGGTGCCTTCAGAAGTGACAGGCGTAAGCCAGTGGGGAAGAGCCGGTGTCCTAGTGGGAAAGAACTTTTCTCCTCTGGGAATCAGAATGGCACCAGAAAAACCTTGGGGCTGAAGTGAAGACAGGATATCATATAGATGGGGGAATGAGTGGCCATGCAGTTATGGTTTAGGTCACAATTTTCCCCAAAAGGCTCAAGAGTTCAGAGGTGTGCCTTCTGAAAGGTGACTAGATCGTGGGTACTAACCTTGAATGTGCCCTTAGGAGGCAGAGCCTGGTGGAAGAGGCGGCTCACTGAAGACATGCCTCTGGCTCTTTCTCTCTCTCTTCCTGCTTCCGGCTGCCATGAAGTGAGCAGCTTTCCTCCCACCGTTCCTTTCCACTGTGACATTTCTGCTTTGGAGCCAACCAACTATGGACTGAAACTTCTGAAACCGAGCCAAAATAAACCTTTTCTTCTTTAAGTTGTGTCAGGTGCTTTGTGCCAGAAGTAGAAAGTAACTAATATACACCGTGACAAGGCTGTGTGAGGGTTGTTAAGCCTGGGACGATTTTATGACCCTGAAACAGGAGCAGCCCTTTCCCATCCCTAAACCCACAACAGGGGAAAAAAAATAATTATGCATCATAGTCTCAGAAACAGAAATCTGGGGACAAAGTCTAGGCCTTTGACCCATGAAAACCTCACCTTTCTAGCCCTGCTGGGAAAACCTGGGCTCCTTGGGAGAAGATAAAAGTACTGATAACGCTGTTCTCCCTATGCCATCTGCCTACAGCCATGGGGACTACGGGAGATGAGGGAGGTAAGTTTTCCATCATCAGCCACCCGGGCCTGGTCTAGCCCTGCCCCACCCACACTGTCCCAGAGGTCAGGGCTCCAGCACCTGTCAGGAGGTAGCTGGGCTATGGCCAGCAGCTATGTCTTATCGAGAAGAATATGTCAACAGCTCCCTATTTCTGCAAGTGGGACGCAGCATAGCTGCATGCCCTAGATGTGCCAGTGCTGCTGCTGGGCCAGAAGAGCTCAGCTTCCCCAGCCCCCAGCCTTGAGCAACCAAGACAACCCAGGCCAAAGCTATTCCTACACCTGCCCCATCATGGGAAGCTTGAAGACTGACAGAGATAAAGGCAAGGCACCAGAACACTGACTTAGCTCCTCTGCGTCCCCAGGAAACTCGGACCTGGGGGAATTAGGAGGCCCCAAACAACATCACAGGTCTGTGCATCCTCACTGTGAACTTGCAGCACTGCACATGCTCCATGTTTCCCTTCACCAGACCCTGAGAAATGTGCTAGCTGAACCAGGCTAAACTCAGGGTCCTCCTCACCATTACTCCTGGTCAAGAGCTGGGAACTTCACTGACAGGTGAAATTGTCAGGCGGCAGCTGGGAAAGGCCAGTGGAAAGCAGAATTTTGCAGAGCACCTGTCCTTCATAGTGACAGTCTTCCTCTCTCACTCACCTCCTCCTGCCCAGCCAGCTCCAGACCAGCCATAAGGCAATGAGGAGGAGCTGGGCAGGGACTGAGGATCCGGTACAGACAGCCTAGGCACTGGCCACCCACTCCTCCACCCCTGGCAGCATGAGCCCCATCATCAGGCACTAATTAAATCCCCCTAATAAGGAAATAAGGATGCAGCAGCCGGCTCTGCCATGGCCTCCCCGGCCCACCGCCCTCGCCTCTCCATTGGACTTATCGCTCGTCACAGGATGTTTACAATAATTTTTAATTTGTGCAATTATTAATCACTTTTCTATCTGCCTCATTTGCATAATAATTAGTCATCTCGCTGTTTGGCATGCCTGTGAATGACAGTGTTTTAAATTGAATTAAGATTTTAATATTCTATTTTCCTGCTTTCTTCCCCTCCACACGCTAATCAAAGTCAGATTTGGCAGCCAGAGGGAGGGTGGGGAGGAGGTTGGCAGGCACTGGACTTGGCCCGCTCTGTGTGCTGAGAACTATGCTGGGAGGAGGCATGTGTGAAGAAGGCAACAGCAACCTCCCCTCACCCCAAACCTAGCACTTGACAGGTTAACA